GGACGAACACACACTGCGCTCCACACACTCTCTCAGACGCGTGTGTGTGTGTTTCTGACGCTCGAGAGCTGAAGATTCTCTGACAGGAAGAGGAGCTCCACCTGTTCAGCAGACGCGCCTGGCCCAACTACTGCACACACACACACACACACACACACACACACACATACAGAGATATACACAAACACAGAGATACACACACACACACTAAACACACAGACGTACACAGTACATTCACACACACACACAATTATCAAAGACACAATAAACACACACATATACACTCAGACACACACAGGAACGCACTAAAACAGATACACACAAGTACACAATGAATTCACACACACACACACACACACAGACAGGTGCACACACTGAACTCACACAGACACTCACATCGATGTGCACAGTGAGTTCACTCACAATCAGTGAACACACACACACACACACACACACACACACGTGGCCTATTTTCACTGAGAAAAACTCAAACCAGAAGAGAGCAGCAGAGAAACACACACACACACACATCTGTGGTGTCAGAGCTTTATTTCACTGCACACACACACACACACACACTCCGCCATTACAGAGTCAAACACACACCAACATAATCACTGAGTAGAGGAGTACACATCATCCAACACACACACACACACACACACACACACACACACACACACACACACACACACACACACACTGAGCAGAACACACACGCAGAGGTCAGAGGTCACCCAGGACTGACCCCTGTGACCCTCAGGACTGCTCTTACACCTCAAATCTCATAATAGAGTCAATAAAATCATCTGCAAACTTAACAAATCTTATACAAAACCACACACACACACACACACACACACACGCTACACACACACACACACACTACACATACACACACACTACACATATACACACACACAGGAGAGCTTCAGCCTGAGAATGGTGGATCAATCCAGAGTCTGAATCACCTCATCAGTGGCTCTGATCCAGAACACGGAGATCACAGCGTGTCACTTCCTGCACAAACACACACACACACACACACACACGTCATGTGATGCTGACATTCGGCAGAGCAAGTGTGTTCCTGAGATAACAGCTGCGCTCAAACACACACACACACACACACACACACACGTGCACACACACACGTAACACGAGCTCTGGATGATTGGAAAGTGAGTCAGTTTGATGAGTATCTGATTCATCTGAACAAACGACTCAGTGAATCTGTCAGAGGAGTCTCTGAGCTCCTGCTCTGCTGCTGCTGCTCTGCTGCTGTCAGGCTTTTGTTTACAGCAGAAACTCTCTTCATCTTCTCTCAGTGTGTCTGGAAATGTCTCCACATGTTGGGCTTGTCTGGGAAGTTGAGGAGTTTGTGGATATGTGGACTGGAACAGACTCCAGCTCATGCTCTGTGCTGTACTGATGAGCTCAGTCAGGCGGTTTCCTCTTGTCATCATGCGGTGCTGTTCTGCTGTTCAGCGGTTTCTCTAGAGCAGCGCTGCCCAAACGGTTCCTTATAAAGGGCCAAACAGCACACCTGACTGAGCGCAGCGGCTGAGCATACAGCAAACCTCAAATACTGTACATCTACATCCTCCACCATGATGAGTACTGTCCTCATGAACTCTGCATACTGCACAATAACCAGACGAGCTCCTTTAATCACACTGACTGAGGGCAGCTAGAAAGAGCAGAGCTACAGCAGTGCTTCTTTAATTTCTGCATAAACAGGAAATGAAACTGGTACTGACTCAGTGATCAATACTGGGATTATAACAGAGTCAATGAAGCAGAAACAGCAGAACATCACAGAGGAGCCCGACTCAACACAAGAGAGTGTGTGTGTGTGTGTGTGTGTGTGTGTGTGTGTGTGTGTGTGTGTGTGTGTGTGTGTGTGTGTGTGTGTGCTGACGAACACAGAATATGAGTCAGAATCAGAATAACCAGCAGACATCATCACATCAGCTGAGAGAGAGAGAGAGAGAGGAGCCCAATGAAGACTACAGCAACCCAGAGTGGAGGAAAACACCCCAACAGCACACAGGGTCAACTGCTCCTTCATACTCACTGAGGAATGGTCAACTAGAGATCAGTGTGTTTACATGTGTGTGTGTGTGGTGCTCAGACTCACCTCTGTGTGTGTGTGTGTGGTACGGCTGGGCTCTGTAATACTCGTCCGGTGTGACGGTCTTGACTCCGCCGAAGTAATCGAGCACCCAGACCTGCGTGATGTTGATCTTCGAGAAGAACCAGCCGTGATCTGAGGGCCAGTCCTGCATCTGCGGGTGTCTGCTGAACAGAGCACGCTTCGCCACACACACCTCCTCAGAGTCATTCAGCTGAACACACACACACACACACACACAGGTCAGAATCTCACATGCACGCAGATTAACACACACACACACACACACACACACAGACCTGCAGCAGTGATCCGGACAGGATGACGTGCGCACACAGAGGAGACTGAGGGTCGTACCCATGATTCCTGCAGTAACTGCTCTGAGCCAGAGACATGGAGAGAGAGACCTGCGGGTTCACCTGCACACACACACACACACACACACACACTGTATTATTAGGTCTATTGTAGGCGGGGCTTTCAGCAGATCTGATGTGAGTGACAGGTTGACCCCGCCCTCACTCCACTATATATAGTCTCCTGCAGGAGTGTGTGACCCTCTAATGAGGAAGGAGGTTTAAGGGTGCACTCACACTAGGCTATCCGAACCCTGCCCAGGCCCGTTTCCCGGATGGTTTGAGAAGTGTGAGTGCTCTGTATCGGGCTCTGGCATGGTTCAGTTTGGTGCGGTACGCTTATGTGTGAGTGCAAAACACGCCTGAGCCCGAAACTGACCACGAGACGTGACGGGTTGATCTGGATTAATGATCATTCTTACTGTTCAATGAACACACACTGCCACAGATGATTACAGACGTAACGTACATAGTGCTGACGCTCATCAGGAGTGTGTGTGTGTGTGTGTGTGTGAGAGAGAGAGTTAGTTTGAATGTGTGTGTCAGAGAGTGTGTATTATTGTATGTGAGAAAGAGTGTGTGTGTGTTTCTCTGTGTGTCTGAGAGATTGTGTGTGTGTGTGTGTGTGTGTGTGTGTCTGTGTGTGTGTGTGTGTGTGTGTGTGTGTTTTTTATTGTGTGTGTGTGTGTGTGTGTGTGTGTGTGTGTGTTGCTGCACAGATGACGAAGGCACTGTGTGATGACTGTAAATGAAGTATTTATTTGATTCTTCTGTCCCCTGTGTGTGTCTCACTCACTGCAGTGTTGGAGGTGTGTGTTTGTGTGTGTGTGTGTGTGTGTGTGTGTGTGTGAATATGAGTGTGCTTGTGTGTGTGTCTGTGTGTGTGTGTGAGAGTGTGTGTGTGTGTGTGTGTGTGTGTGTGTGTGTGTGTGTGTGTGTGTGTGTGTGTGC